TTGTGTCAATGAGGTCACAACGAATAAAGTTCCTGCCAATTGTCACCCTCCTCTGACACCTGGATGGTTGGCTAACTGACTACCAGGTAACGGCCCGAGTCTAACTGAGCGGCAAAATAGTTTTGCAGCTGAATGTCCGCTGTTGGTTTGGTTAGGTGGCCATTAGACTTGATATTTGGCTGGTTTGCTTCCTTGCCTGGTGGGCTCGCAGATTGGTTAGCTGGCAGGCCGTTTGGCTGGTGGCGTGCCAAACGTGGAAACATCCCGTTAGAGCTGAAAATGCCTGGGCCTCATCTTAGCCCTCCTATAGAAAGCTATAATTAAGTGTCTTGAAAAATGCACCACTGTGAAATGGAGCCTTAATCCTGAGTCTTAAGTGGCTGTACTTTTCCTCTTGAATGATGAGAGTATATACTTGTGAAAAGGAGAAGACAGATGAAGAGTGATATGGAGAGACAGTCAATGATGCGCAACGGTGTTTTTATTATTTTTCTATAACAGTTAAAGTGCATGCATGTGAGCCTATACAACTGGGTGTGCCCTGCTTACACCTCTGCACCGAACTGCTGATGGCCTTTTTTAGCATCAGCCCTGAGCTGAGTGTCCTGTGAGCTTTCCTAATGATGTGTTATTAGTAAATACACACAGGCCTTGAAGTGTGTGTGTGTGTCTGTCAATGTCAAAGCTCAAGAGTGATGCAGAGAAGTTGACGGAGACACAGTATTAAAAAGGCAAGTGAAGAGAGACTCTGTATGATTAGTTTGCTGACAACATTATAAATGTGTGTGTGTGTGTGTGTGTGTGTGCGTGCATATTAGCAGTTTACACAGTCTTTGTCATTCCAAGTGGGAATGAGAACAGAAATGTTAATTACATGCTTGATATCTCGACAGGAAAATCAGTCCATGCCAGTTTGATTTTTATTGAAAGCAAATCATTGAAACTGAGCAGCAGAAATACAATATTACCATAAATCATAAAAGACACATCCTGCTCTATGTGGTGTACTGTGGTTCTTCACTGTTAGTGACTTCTCCTACTGTGCACTGACTCCAAGCCAGTGTAACACAGTAGATGAATAATACCAGAGCTGGGAGAGATGTTCCAGCTGCGCACCAGGCAAGCAGCAGCCACATTAAACCAACTGTTTTACGCTACATTCATTACTACAGAATATTAAGTCTGTTAATACAGAGCAGGCTCTGTCAAATATCCTTAAGTCCAATACTGCATCAATGTTCCAGCATTCACATTTGATCAAGAGTTGATCAAGGACAGCAAAGCAGTGGAAGTGGTGTCTTTTGATTGAACAACATATTCTGGCGCACTAACGTCTTTGCCGCTGTCGCCGTCACGTCTTCGGGACATCAAACGGCAGATTTTAAACTCAGAGGTCGCCCTATACCTCTGAGTAACAGAGATCCAGACAGCAGGCTTTGCTGTATGGATACAGGCCATATCCTGTTGCGAGTTGGAAGACAGATGCTGGACGTTCAGCGGAGTCAGATGGGACAAACACTTCGATGAGATGGGCTTGTCAGGGTCTAAGTCACAACTACACCAGGGTGTGCTGGATGGAGGAGAGTGATTGTGTCCTGGCATTAGGCTGGAAAAATCAAGAGGCTGTTCCTGCCACTGCCTCTGATGGACAGTAACAGTGCTGAAAATCCAAATCTAAGACTCATTAGTTGGCCTTAAAAAGTGTGAGGTTATATTTTGTTAATGTGCCTTTTACTTTTACTTAAACCATGAAAATAAAGAGTTCCAAAATTAAATTTCAAATCAGATTTAAGCAAAAGCTATGTCAAATACATATGTATTAAAATACCTATTCTAATCATATGTATGACATGAAATTGATTCAAAGGTAAGTTAAGTTCCACCAGAGTTTAGGATGTTTTCCACATTAACTCAAATGTATTCAGCGCTGAACAGAATGGTATTATCAGAGCTGAAACTTAACCCTGTTGGAATAACTGGCTCCATGGTTTCTGCTGGACCATGTTTATCACTATTACAGATTTAATTACTACTATTCACATTTATCCATCCGTGAATTGTTAGCTGATCTTTGAGAATGTTGGACAATGTGAACCATACTTCTGGTGTTTGAGGTACACAGAGGGGAAGTGTAACTCAATCACTTTTTTCCCCTCTCCGTCCACATGACGAGGTGCCAGATGCGTGTCAGTGCTTTCAGACTTTATACTATCACGCATCTGGCACCTCGTCATGTATATATATATACCTCCCACATCCTCACAAACACTTGCTAACAGACATGTCTGGTCATACACACCAACGATCCATAGATACATATGAAAAGTAGTCGAGTTATTTCAAGAGTTCAGGCCATAGTAAGGCCAATAAATGTCTTTTGTCTCAACACAGAAATCTTAGAATTAAGAATGTATAGTGCTACATACAGTGCAATTTACAGCATCAAAATAAAACACAAACACCCTGACAGGATCTAAATGACTTGCCTCCTAGTAGTCCCTTTTATTTTTAAAAAAGCCCGGCCTTTGTCTTAAACTCTGCAATAAAAGCCTGTTTAGGTGCAATGGAAAAGAACACGCTGCTCTCTGATGTGGCACTCAGAAAGACTCACTGAGAAACTGATGGGTGATCAAGGCTGAGGGTGCTCAGTGAGAGCCAAATGAGATACTGGAGCCTCTCAGAGAGCTCACAAAGGGTAGATGATGCCCTCTACAGTAGACAGAGGAGGGCCAGGCCAAGCAGGCCTTCGCACGCTGCCTTCAGTGCAGCAACTACACTAGGAAAGGGCGTTTCAGCAGTAAAACTTCAAGAATGAAATGGATTTTATTTTATTTTTAACTGTCTGTTAAAGTTAGAAAGTTGTAATTACAGCATGTGGGGGTGTAAAGTTGCAATTAATGCTTTTTAAATATGAATTTTGTTTGTTTGCTTGGTTTTTCCTTTGTTTTGGAAAATACTGTGCATTATTAATTGTGCATTGGTGGAAAAAGTATTGAGATTATTTAAGTAGCAGTACAACACTACATGCAAAGGTCCTGAAGTACAAATTCCTGAAAAATTACACAAGTAAAAGCACTTGTATAAAGTATTAGCAGAAAAATATACTTAAAGTAAAAGTACCCAGAATTCAGTACAATGTAAATGTTGCATTTTATTATATATTGTGCAGCTGGAATGTCACGTATGAATGGTATTTTACTGTTTAAGAGTTCACTCTAACTGCTGGGTACTTTATTTTATGACAGTGCCTCTTTTTTACAAGCTCGTCATATGTCTTGTATGTAAAATCTTACTCTGCAAAGTAAATAAATGTAGTGGAGTATATGCTGAACTGCTGTGGAGTAAAAGTATACATTTTGGAAATATTCAAGGTACAAGTACATCAGATATGTACTTAAGCACAGTACTTGACTAAATGTACTTTCGGATATGAAGAGATTTGCGTAATTGCGCAATTTCGAAATGATCCATGTGTCATCATATGGCGCTTTTTGGTTCATTTTAAAAAGGTTCTTGGGGCACAGTCAAATTTTCAATCGGATTTTTACATAAATGAATTGGTCAAAAGCGCAGTCCAGTTACAAGAAACGGTCATATGGGTAAGTGAACATAAAGGCTATGTAAAGTAGAATACCTGCACACTGGCACAACAGCTCTCCCCTGCGACCGGCTGAAACTCTACTCCTGTGTCTCAACCTGACTCACCGCTCTCCGGTGACTCACTCACTCCTACCTTGCGAAGTATAACTCACTTCTCACCCTTGCTCGGCTTTCTGCATGCTCATGTGAACCGCATATTGTCAGGACATCGTGGTAATACAACACGGACTGATGGACTAACGCGTGCATACTGACTGAAATGACCACGTCCAGGGTTAGGAGCGCGCAGATGGTCCAGAGGAGTGGTAACATGTCGGTATGTAGCCCAAAGGCTGGCTGTGTGTAAAACTCTGAACTGTGATTAACTGTGACACTGAGAAAAGTCGCGAAACGTAGCCCCCAAGTGTGTGTTTCATGAAGGTATAGACGTTACCGGGAGACCTGTCCGGTCGTCTACAGACGTGATAGATTATGGCGGAGGGACTGGATCTGATTCCAGACACCACGTGTTTGAGTCGCATCAGCGCAATAATTGCTGGGCGCCTGAGCTATATAAACCACAAAAAGCCTGAGCTCGGGAAACCCCGGCCTCCAAACACTAACCGCATTTACGGCTACAAAAACGAGAATCGTTTTTCCGCCTCCTTCATCTCACCGGCGATGATTTTTTTCTCGACATCATCAACTTTTTAACCCTATATACAGAACCAGCGGCTTGACATAGACACTTTACAGAAAAATATGTGCAATTTGAAGGTGTCTCGGGGTTATAAATAGCTCTATTAAGTATTGTTAACGCTTATTCCTTTGACTTTGAAAGCTTTATGTGTGTGTACATAGCCTGTGGGCTTTCAGAGAACCTTTCAGTTTGGCACAAAGACTTCAATGACGCACCTGGAGCAGCGCTTTGAATTTTCACTGAAGGAAGACGGACAAAAACCTTTTTGGGCATCTGGGTCGGCTGTTCCATTTTAGACCAGCTTTTTTTTGTAACTGTATAGCCTTTCAAGCGCTCGGACATTTATTTGGTGTTATTCATATCCACACGTGAATAACTACGCCTGCGTTATGGCGCATGAACACTTCCCCCGAGAAGTTAGAAAAAAAGAGCTCGTCATTTAAAACATCAGCAAGTTTTCAAGGGTTTTTTTTTTTTACCGG